GTGGGAAGGAAGGGGGAAGGAAAGAGAAGGAAAGAGGGAAGGAAGAAATGAAGGAAGAAAGGAAAAGAGGAAGGGAGGAAGGAGGGAGAAAAGAAAAGGAAAAGAAAGCCTGTATGTCCCTTACACTGGTTCCCTAAGAAACTTTGTTGTCCGTCATCCGGGAAAGGCAGACATCAGCCAAATCATTATAAAACTCAACTTTAGAAAGACTCGTATGAATGACGTTTTGTTGAATTTGCAAAATGTCAAAAGATCACATCTCACTGTAATTCAAGAGACAAATCTCAAAGTAAACTGCCAACTGTCCCAGAATATCCTGTGAAGAGACGCTGGGCATCTCTTAGAGGATATCGCCACGTCAACAGCTGTTTCCTCGGCTTTCACCTCATTCTGTGCTTTTGCCTCCCTCCAAAATGCATTGCGCAGCTATGCAAAGGCTCTGTGGCAGCCAGTGATGGTGTGCTTGTCTGAGCACACAGGTCAAAGAGATTCTCAGGAGAATTTATGGTCTCCGTTATGATTTGGTGATGATCTGGCAAGGCACTTGACAGAGGGATGCTTAAAGAAGGTCAAAATTATGAACTTTGCAGCAACTTGGATGGACTTGGAGTCTGTAATCCTGAGTGATCTACCACAGAAACAAAGAACATGTTCTCACTCATAAGTGGACCTTGAACACCTACCGTAATACTATAAGAAAGGGATTGGCAGTAGTGGGAAACTGCCAGGGGAAGGGGGCACACTTCATCAACCAGGGTATCTGCATAATGAACATTTGTATACCTAACCCTGAATTGTACCTCACATCTTTAAAATGAAAAATTAAAAAAAAGAAGACTGATCTCTCTCTCTCTCTCTCTCTCTCTCTCTCACACACACACACACACACACACACACACGCAAATAAAATGTGAAGCAAAACGTCATATCCATGCCACTCTTTGTGTCCCCATGAGTATTTTCTCTGGGGTCTAAGTTTGGCCTGATGGCTCTATCCCAGCTACAGCATTAGTAAAAAAAAAAAAAAAAAAAAAAAAAAAAAGACTCCCAACTTGAAATGGTGGCCACCGACATAATTTGAAAAAAAAGAGCCATTCTGGCATGATGGTTTGGTCAGGAAAATGGCTCATTTATAAGGTTTTGCCATTAGCCACAGACAATTGAGTTGATTTATTGTTTCAACATATTGGGGGGTACTGTAATCACTGCTGGACTGAAGGATGTGAGAATGTCACAGTGAAAGGAATCAAGTTCCAGACTGGTGAATTGACTTTCTCATCATCACATGGCTAATTCATGTTAAAACCATGGTGAGATCCTAGGCTCCTGGGTCCTGGGGATGAGGTATTGAAATGGGATTGCCATGGCTTAGATATGGGGCCAGATGAATGAAAGGAGAAACCATAAGCCTAAACCAAAAGAACAAGGAAGAAGAAACCTATAATCCCAGGACTTTGGGAAGTGGAAGCAAGAGGTTTCAACTGGGGCAACTTGGTGAGACCTTGTCTCTACAATAAATCAAAAAGTTAGCCAGGCATGGTGGCACACATGCGTGTAGTTCCAGCTGCTTGGAAGGCTGAAGCGGAAGGATCTCCTGAGCCCGGAAGGTCAAGGCTGTGGTGTCCATGATTGTGCCACTGTACTCCAGCCTGGGTGACAGAGTGAGACTCGGACTCAAAAACAAAAACAAACAGACAAAAAGGACTAGAAGAAAATCAGGACTTTGAAATTATTAGGAGGATATGCGGAAACAGGAATTTGTAATTATATTCCATGCACAATTAATGATATATTGTATAACCCATGCATACTTTATGGTTCACACATTTATTGCATGTGACTCCATTTTTCAGCCATACTTGTTGAAAAATACAGCAGTAGCTACAATACAATATGATTTTTATATCAGATGGCCCCAAATGCAAATTAACTGTTTTATCTGGTGTTCAACTGACGAAAAAAATGATAGATCCCAAATGTGGATGGATATATCAGCAGTGTTGGAAACTGTGAGATTTAATACAGTTGTTACTGAATTGTGAGATCAATACAGAGCAAGTCAAAGGATCAAGGATATTTCTGACTCTCCTATGTGTTATATACCCTCGCTTTGAAATCAATTCCCAAATAAAATGAAAATTCATAGTATTGAAGTACTTTTCCCCATTAAAAGAAAATGGAGGAAAATTATTAGTTTCCAAGCAATAACAACTTTTTAAAATCATCTTTCAATATTTCTGTCGAGAATACCTTTTAGTTGGAAAGATGGTACAAGTATTTTTCCATATGTTTAAAATATACATTTTTGAATACATAAAACTTTTAAAATATAAGCCTTAGGCAAGACTTGGTGGCTATTCTATTTTCAGTTTGAGTTTTAGTAATATTCCTCATGGTTCTTTAGCTCAAAGAATGGAGCTGAATTTGATGAGTTTTTTTTTTTTCAAATATGTTTTTGAAATACGGTGTACATATTGAGAAATACACATAAGTTTTAAAACAGTGAACATGCCTATGTAAACAGCACAAAGCTCACCAAGCAAAACTGACCAGCATCCCACAATTCCCTGACCTGAGTGCCCTTCTAAGCACAATCACCCCAAAGGTAACCACGGACCTGACTTTTAACACTACAGATGAGTCTTGTCTGTTTTTGTACTTCACATCAATGAATTAATATTGCGTCCTACTCATTTGTGTTTGACTACTTTTGCTGAACATTATATGAATAATATTCATCTATTTGGTTGTAAATAATTGTAAATTACTCATTCGTATTGAGAGTGTATTAGGAGAATAAATCTTTTTTTTTTTTTTTTTTTTTTTGAGTTGGACCCTCACTCTGTTGCCCAGGCTGGAGTGCAGTGCCACACTCATGCCTCAACCTGCTGGGCTCCGGTGATCCTTCCACCTCAGCCTTCCAAGTAGCTGGAACTAGAGGCGCGTGCTACCACACCTGGCTAATATTTTGATTTATTGTAGAGACAAGGTCTCGCCATGTTGCCCAGGCTGATCTTGCATCCGCGGGCTCAGGCAATCCTCTCCGCTCGGCCTCCCAAAGTGCTGGGATTATAGACTTGAGCCACAGGCCTGACCTATCTTTGATGTTATATGGACTCAATAAATCTCCAGAAATCTCCGACCAAACAAAGGTCTTTGTTGAAGAACCAGCAAGTGCTGGAGGTGGGATGCTTTAACTTCCACAAATTCAACAGGAAATGCTACTTGAATGACATAAGCAGAAATACCTCAGCACAGACAAGTGGTATTGTTTAAAATACTGCCTTATTTTCAGAGAAAACATTTCATTTGGGAATGAGAAGATATGCATACAGGATAGACATTTATGGCATCTGAAAACTGACTTTTTTTTAAGATGGGGTAGTCATGGGATAGAAGAAAAAACAGTGCGGGTTTTATTTTTAGTCACGATGGAGATTTGCACAGAAAAAGCAGAAGGGCATGGTTGATTTGTCTTTTTGTTCCTGTTACAGGGTCTCCATTTTGGTGCCTGTTGGACATTGTTCCCATAAAGAATGAGAAAGGAGATGTGGTACTTTTTCTGGCCTCATTCAAAGATATAACAGATACTAAAGTGAAGATTACTCCAGAAGATAAAAAAGAAGGTTTGTACTGTTTTCTGAAAACATTGACAGATGGAGTAACATTTTGAAATTGTTTACTCAGAAATTCTGGGAGGAAAAAAAAATGTCTTTTTAATAGCAGCAACTGATAAATATTCGTAACTGTTAGCAGTCAGTATTTAGTGCATATTCTAAAATCACAGAGACTTGCATGTATTTACAGCCTCATCTTTGTGATAAAGACTCATCTGACAGCAACCAAAAGTTCATGCTCGTGTGCAAATAGGATAAGGATGAGAAAACAATTGATCACAATGTAAGGATTCATACCACCTTGCCTTATTAGGCAATAATGAGTTGGTAGTATAAGGGTAGTTAATATAATGTTAGTAAAAATACATCTTTCAGTTTCCTGTAAAGTGTTAATGCTCACAACTTAGAAGTTGCATTTTATGTGTACAGTTAAGAACTCTAGTGGTTTTTAGACTAGAATGTTGCAAATAAACAGGTTTCTTGTATGTTTAAGTATATAGCAGCAAAATACTTTGTTTTAAGATACAAATAAGCTTTTCCATTATGCTTAAAAGTCTTTCTAAGAATTCATGTTGTTTACGTTATATCGTCTGTTGCCCATTGTGGATTCCGGGGAGGAACTTTCTGGAAGATGAGTGTCATTAAGTAAATTAAGCCCAGAGCTGATGGTGAGGAGCAGGATAGAGGCATGATGGAGCAGTGCAGAAGGTGGCCAGCCTGGAGACAACAGGCCACGGGCACCTCCTGTCCCATCGGTCCTCCTCTCTCAGAAAAAGCTCAAGTCACAAGATGCAGCACTTCCTCCTCCCCGCTCCGAAGTCCCACAGGGCTCCACGACTGCACCAGAGGAGGGATCTAGTCTTGGCTTTTGCCAACCAGCCAAGAGATGCCGGATGAAGCACTTGATCTCCCGGTTTCTAATTTTCTTTTCTGTTAACCAGGAACACAATCCCCTGGCTGCCTTCTTCCCAAAGTCATTGCAAGAGCTAGTTAGAACAGGACAAGGCATGGGAAGGAGATTTCTTTGATTCAAACTCAGAATTGGGGAGCCCCTCTTACCATTTCCTTCTCTTCTTCATCCCCAAGTCCAGGACATCATCAATCCTTCTATTTCTACCTCAGAAAGACACCTCTCCTCTTGCTCCTCCTCCCAGTTCCACCTCCCAGGTGCAAACTACTTTTACTTCTCACCTGGTCGACTGCAATGTATGTTTCATTAGCATCTTCCAGATCCACTCTCCATGTAGCCACTGGGATGATCTTATAAAAATGTCAAGCAGATTACGTCATCCCCTGCTTGAAATACTTCACGAGCTTCCCACTGAACTAAGCACCAACTTCAGAATTCTCAACCTGTTCTAGAAGTTCCCAAGAGTGTTCTGCTCTACCGGCCCTTCTTTCTGTCCTCTGACACACGGAGCTTCAACCTGCTTCCAGGCCTTTCACATACATCCTTGCTTTTGCTTAGAAAGTTGCCCCCCACCCTTGGCATGGTTACCTGCCTTTATATACGAATCTCAACTCCAGTGTCACTTCGAGGGGTCTTGCCATCGAATATAAGCCACCTGTGTTCCAACACTATGCTTTTCCTACAAAACTTACATCACTTACATCACAATTTGAGTTTCTATTTTTATATTTATTTATTGAAAGGGAGACTCACTCCGTCACCCAGGCTGGAGTGCAGTGGCATGATCTTGGCTCAGCACAGCCTCGACCTTCTGTGCTCTGGCGATCCTTCCATATCAACATCTTGAGTAGAGACTACAAGCACTTGCCACCACGCCCGGATAATTCTTTTAATTTTTTAGAGACAAGGTCTCACAGTGTCACCTAGTCTGATCTTGAACTCCTGGGTTCAAGCAATTCTCCCACCTCACCCTCCCAAAGTGCTAGAATTACATACATGCACCACTGCGCCCAGCCTACAATTTGAGTTATATACTTACTTGTGAATTTAAATGGAATGTCTGACTCTTGTATTAAATTGTAGCCCTTTGAGGGCAAAGAGTTAAAAAAGAAAAGTAATTCCCTGCATTTTATGTAAGCTGACAAAAATTAATATTGAAAAAAGCACCGATATTATTTGTTTTAAACTAAAGTAGAAACAAGCTCCCAGTGTGATGGCACTTGCCTGTAATCCCTGCATTCCTTTTTGCCACCCAGGTTCTGAATCAACTGAGAAAGGAGAAAAGAGTAAGGTAGACCGGAGACAAAAATATCTCTATGATTACTGATAAAACCTGATAAAGGGGAACATGGCATCCCTCTACAGGTAATAGGGCTCCTGTCTAGTGAGATTCACATTGGGGGAAGTTTTCCCCTCATCGCAAAGCCCCACCCTGATCTGGTGTCTGTGTGAGAGAGAGAAATCTGTAGAAGGTTTTTACCACCTTAAAAATTACCTTTCTTTTTTGACACGTTTTACGTCTATTTCAAAATGGTACGTGCACCACTCACTTCTGTGTCCATGTCTAGCATAACTTAGTGAATTTAATGAGCTTTGTTTGTGCTTATACCTTTCTCTATCAGAAAGAAATATTTTGTTATAAAATTTGGTTCTGTGTATCAATCAGCTTAGCAACTGAGATTCTTTTCTTGCTGATCAGAAATGTTGGCTGGCAGTTGAATATTTTTGTGGTTATTTGTTTATTTAGTAAAGAAAAACCATAATGGCTGCTCAATACAGGTAGCCAGGGTAAGTAAAGTCTTTTTGGACACGGGGTCCTCAGTGGTAGGGAAAGATTGGAAAAAAACATCTCCGGGGCTGAGCGGTGAGGGCCTCTGAACTCAGCGATTGTAAGGAGGCTTTCATTTTTAAAATGAATTAAAATCAAATTAAATTAAATTTGTTTTAAAAATTATATTTAAAATTTAAGATAACATTCCCAGGGCTGACCATCGAGGGCCTCTGTACCCAGTCATTATAAGGAGGCTTTAATTTTTTCAGTTATTTAAAATTAAGTTAATTAGATTAAAATTGTTTCTAAAATTCTATTTAAAATTTAAGATACACTTAAAAGTAGATTAGAGGCCAACTAAGCAATTCAACCAATATTTACTGAACCCCTACTCTGCTGCCCTCAGTATTAAATTTGCATTTAGAAATGCAAAATTGCAGATAGGATGCTTTGAAGCATCACAAGGCTCCACTTAAATCCTGGTTCCACTATACATTGTCCATTAGGCCTTCACCAAGCTGCTCATCTCTTCAGAAACTGAGTTTCCTCATCTACAAAATGGGGTGATCAGATGTATCTTTTACACTTGTTATAGGTTTATAAGGGATTGTCTGTGCAAATCACATAGCACAGGCATATGCCCCATAAAAGTTAGCTGTGGTCATGATTGCTATTTTCTTTTTGGGGGGGGTCCAGGGGAGGGGGTCTCACTCTGTTGCCCAGTCTGTAGTGCAGTGGCCTGCTCACGGCCACTACAGCCTTGCCTCTGGGCTCTTTCTGCTTCAGCCATCCAAGTAGCTGGAACCACAGGCACATGACACCATGCCCAGCTAATTTTTTTAATTTATTGTAGAGACGAGAGCTTGCCAAATTGCCCAGGCTGGTCTCAAACCCCTGGACTCAGGAAAGCCTGTCATGTCTGCCTTCCAAAGTGCTGGGATTATAGGGGTGAGCCACTGTACCTGGTCATGGTTGTTATTTTCTAAGTGTTTTATAACACATAGCTCACTTTTGTTGAGTCTCTGCTTTGTACTAAGTGTTTTTCACGGGTTACTTCATTTTCTTCTCATTATCATCCTATGTCATACAAGTTCCGACAATTAAGTTCACAAAGCATCCTAGAAAAAGTACTCCATACCTCACTACTGAATCTCACTATGGTCACCTTCAAAGGACTTCCTTTGGGAAGCTATGCTCTGATGCCAGTGCCTAGTTTACCTGTCAAAGCGATTTGGGAACTCTTCTTCTGGAAGGGCCATCAGAGCTGTTGTGGTTATTTGTTGAGATCTGACCATTAAGTTTGGGAACTTGCTACTGTGCTCTTATGCTGGCAGCACTGTGCAAATAGCTGAACCGGAACACCCTCCGTTCTCACCTGATCTGGCCCCCAATGACTTCCTTTTTACCCAAAGATAAAGGAAATATTGAAAGGAAGACATTTTGATGACATGCAGGGCATCAAGAATAATAACGACAACAGCTCTGATAGCCATTCCAAAAAAAGAGCTCCAAAATTGCTTTGATGGGCGAACCAGGTACTGGCTTCAGTGCATAGCTTCCCAAGGGGAATAGCTTGGAGGCGACCATAGTGATATTCAGCAATGAGGCCTAAGAAACTTTTTCTGGGATGAATTTATGAACTAAATTGTCAGACCCCATAGGTGTCATTAACAGTGAATTTAAACAACTTGACAAAATTGACATCATAAAGAAATAGTAAAACTAGGGTTAACACTCATACACTCAAACTCCAGGGTCTGTATTTCTTTCTCCTCCCTCCCTCTCCAAAGTGCTTATAATCGTATGGAGGACACAGATCCAGCAACCGCAGTATTGTACGTTCAGGGACAGTGGAAGAGCAGAAATGATGAACTTTTCCCAGACAAGGGAGCAAGACAGGGTGGGTCAGTGACTACTGCCGCAGAATCAAGGAGCCCTTCACAGGGAAAAACAATCCTGAAGCAAATCTTGAAAGAGGATTTGGGTGTGGAGTAAGACTGCAAGGAAGGGGTGTTCATTTCAGGTGATGGAACAGCAGGGCATTGATCTCTGTTCAGAAGAGTATAGACGTCGTGAAATTGAATGGTTCAGCCCTGGGTTGGCAGGCAGGGCTTGAATTTTCAAGACAGTATTGTGTCATTCTAAGGAGTTTAGTGGTGCGGAAGTATATTCCAGAGTTGGAACTGGTTGGCCTTGACAATAGGAGAAGGATAAGCAGGCCTTTTTCATTCCAAGTTTCTAGTTTAAACGCTGTCATGAACTGAATTGTGTCTCCCCCAAACTCATATGTTGAAGCTTTAACCCTCAGTAGCTCAGAATGTGACAGTT